CAAATTTACATAAATCTTCGATCGCTAGCAGTGTGACCCTGAAGTGCTGTACTTTATGTTTGTAAGTTTTCTCGCCAAGAAACACAACAGTGTCAACTAAACTTCGTCACCTACGGGTGCCTTTGGTTTCATTCTATAATACTGGACTTATTTTTCTACAAAGGTTTGAACTTTGAGTGTTTAAAATAGAGAGAAAAGTGTGAAAATGTTCGTGCCTGTCTGAGAAAAGTGTATAAAGCATGTAGTGAGGGAGTTTTACAGTTTTAAAACATCTATAATAATTGTAAAAAATAAAATTGGCTACTTTGCAGATTTTACCTATCGTGGGTTATTTTTAGAACATAACTCCCGCGATAAACGAGGGCCGCTGTACTGCAACTATAATTATAATTATACCATATCAGCTTTATTTATAAGGCACTTTAACATAAAACCAGGGTTCACAAAGTGCTGTACATATACAAATAGCATAAGCAAAGTAAAATAAAATAAGATACAATAAGATAAGATAAAATAAATAAATAAATAAAAAAGATAAAACATGTTAAAACAAATTGAGTTAACCCCTTAAAGAGGGCAAAAGGCTTCAGCAAATAAAAATGTGTTAAGAAGAGTTTTAAACTGAATGAAGTGTCTCAGCTTGGTGCTTATTCCATGCCCCGGTTTGACGAGCTCCTGGATTGGCTAGACATTGCTTGCTTTTTCTCCAAACTGGAAATAACCAGGACTACTGGCAGATTCTCTTTGCTCCAGACTCTCCAGACTCTTATTGAATATTTAGGCAGTTCTTGGGATTGGCTCGTTGCTATTTTTGGTTCATGACCGGTTTTGCGGACCTGCCCAGCCCCCTGACTGATTTCACCCAAAAAAGTGCCTAGACCTGGTCCAGTGGATGGCGTTTGTACAGGAGTGTGTATTTTTACTTTTTAAACAAAATGCAACAATGAATTCTGAGCAAATCACAGTTTACAACTGTAAACCTCTGGGGAGAGCTCCTAGACCACATACACTGGTGGGTGTGATCTGTGGCAACCTGAGACCTTCTGGAATGGAGCAATGCAAGTGTGACTCTGATGTGTTCTACTATGCATGGCTAAAAATAAAATAGTACTGGCCATAACACGGAGTCACTTTGGGGAGTGTGTTTTGGGGGAAGGTGGTGTTCGACTAGACACATCTGCTGCTCGACAGCAGCAATCACACGGCCTTCTTTCTGCATACACACCAACAATAATTCTGTCCCTTTGTCATGTATGGCTATCTGAGCTCTGACTGAAAACTGCTCTCATATTCATGGACAGAGTCACTCACACATACACAGACTGTCCAGGCCCTAAAAATAGCTGGTGTTAGCTGTCTGGTGATATGTATGGAGATAAATACCTGCAAATTAGTCTCATGTGTGTTACCAAATATGTACACGGACACACACAGTACATCCCAAAGACATAAACTCTCTTATCCTCCATAAATAGGTCACAAACTGGCACCTCATTTCTCTTCACTCCTCAGTGTCCTTCTCTGCTGTCCCAGATAAAGCAGCCACAATCACTTTCTTCCTTCCAGCAAATAGTCCAACTCACCTTGACCAGACAGAGAGGACATCTATGCTGCTGCACAAACATCTCTCACATCTCTATGTAGCTAGTATTATCTAGTATCTAATATTAAAGACAAATAATTTAGCTTGAAGCGAGCAAAATGATTTGCAAAAATGTAATTATCCTTTCTGTTTCTCACAAAAGCATTCAACTTAACATCTATGTTCATCTATCTATGTTTCATTTTATTTATGTATTTTTTCACTGCACTTCATGGCATTTACTATTTCATGCTTTATGTTTTTCAGTTTGCAGAGGACATGGAGCTCTTTTTAAAAGCATGTGCTGATGAGCAGGGACTACGGGTCATGTGATGTTTGACACTTAATGGACAGATGGCTGTTTGTTTGTGTTTTTATGTGTTGTTGAGTTGTTGTTTTTTCAGTGTACAGAATTCCAATTAAACTTATTATAAAATGTTGTTCACTTGTTTCCATGTCCATACTTATAGTAAAAAAAGTGTAAATGTAACAGAATTGTTTATACTTGTAACTTCAAAATAAAAAGCTTACAGTTGCTATTAACATTAATGTATTACCCTGTAATCCATAATATTTTTATACATTTTACGCACTAACCCTCTGGGCTCTGTGCTGGCCTTATGTGGCCACTTCACTTCTTTTTTCTTTCTTTCTTGACCATTTTTGCTGTGTTAATGCAAAAGGGTCCTGATTGTTTTCAGCTTTTGGCCACTTGACACCCATTATTATGACATTTTTAAATTCCTTGTTATTGACGGTGCTAAATCATGCAATTTAGGTAAAACTGCTTTTATTCTAAACTCAGCACATTAAAATTATGGTTGTTGTTGTTGTTGTTGTGTTTTACCAAATTACATCATTTACCCATTTTTGGCTAAACAACCAATTTTTCATGTAATATTTTTAGTTTCAAACAGGGCGTTTGATGGCTCACTACACTGCAGTGGACAAAAAGAATGACACAGGTTTGATCTTAAGGGTCCAATAGTTTGTACATGACATTGCAACATAAATATGTATTTGCAAGATAGACTGGAAAAAATGATGACGCATTAAATATTACACAGGCTGCAGTGAATTTCTGTTGATACAGGCTATTGAGCTTTGAGTTTCTCAGTCAAACTTAGCTTTGAAGCACCTGCTAAAAACTGTTTTACTCTTGTAGAGTTCACAACAAGACACCATAGCCAAAATATTAACTCTCAAAAACAAATTCAAAGCTGCAGCACGTACAGCAACAAACACTGTTAGTAAATGTGTCCTGGAGTTTCTGCAGGTGCAGAAAGTGCTGCTGCTGTAAATAAGCCTAACAGCTTCCAGATCACTTATTTTTCTGGAAAGATGGCAAGAAGGGCATCACTGCTCATTGTCCCATGAAAACCACTTCACAGTAGTAGGAGTCCACTAAAACCTACAAATGAAGAGTGATCCTAGAAGAAATGGGGCGCACACTATAGTGACCTCAACAATTGCAAGACAGCCTTGTCCCCGATGCTCAGATGAAAAAATAAATAAATAGGAAGTTTTATGAAACCATTAGGACTTTATCACCTTTTTTATCTGAAAAGTTACTGATAATATATATAACCTAACTGGCATTTAAAGAGCCTTGTGGGGGTTTGAACAGCCGGTTCCGCTTTCTTAATTCTCCGATAAGTCAGGGCCAAGCCAGCTCCGATCAGCAAGAACCCTGTTATCATGGTTCTGAATAGGTAGATATCTTCAGCGTCCTCGATCGACAGTCCCGCCAGGCACACGCCCCTCCATGTCTGCCACCCGTCCATCGTGAATCCGGCAGGGAAAGTCCCTCCAGGGCACTCGGGCTCTCCCGAGCCCAGACTTCTCGTTGAGAAAAGGGTGTCAATAGCATTCAGAGACCAGTTGATCAAATCCATAATTCTCTTTAGGTTTTAGAAACAGACTGTGAGATACTGTTCCAGGGAAAATAATACAAAAAACACGAGACTAGACAAGGACATAAGCAGGGAAGATAAGGGAGAGGAGAAAAAGGGTGTCCTCCGAGAGCCAAAAGGAAAAGTAGCAAAAAAAACCAAAAACATAAAACATGGACACTTTTGGCAACGAACAAGCTGAAGGGATGGTGATTTTTTTAAACAAACCCAGAGTGTTAAAAACATTTAGAATCATGTTTATTTCTCATCAGCATCAATAGTAACAAAAACACAATTTAGTGTTTCGTGTTACTGTGGAGGTCACAATATGGCGCTCCCCAGTGGCTGCAGCCAGGTGCTCTTGATTGGTGTAGGCTGCTGGGGGGTTCCCATGATGCACTGGGTGTTTCTTCTTCACTCCCTATGTGTTAACAGACCTCTCTGCATTGAATCATATCTGTTATTAACCTCTGTCTCTCTTCCACAGCATGTCTTTATCCTGTCTTCCTTCTCTCACCCCAACCAATCACAGCAGATGGCCCCGCCCCTCCCTGAGCCTGGTTCTGCTGGAGGTTTCTTCCTGTTAAAAGGGAGTTTTTCCTTCCCACTGTCGCCAAAGTGCTGCTCATAGTGGGTCATATGATTGTTGGAGTTTTCTCTGCAATATAAAGCGCCTTGTTCTGATTTGAGGCTGTATAAATAAAACTCAATTGAATCAAATCCATAAGTCATACCTCAAATCACGATGTCCTGGTCATGGAACACGGGAGCAGCCATACCCTGTGCAATAAAACACACGTCATGTATGAACATTTTCCATCCACTGTCTGAAATAAATAGTTTGTCATCATGATCCTGGAGTTGGCAAATGGATGGTTTATGAACTGGTACTTATATATCACATTCGACTTAATTTTGAACATTCATAATGCTGTTTACTACTACTACTCATTTTTGTATCTACACCTGAGCAGTTTTACCTTACGTTCTAACATTTACTCACACTCCAGTGTTAACAGGCACACTTAATGCAGTTTGTAAAGTCAGTGAAAGCTTTTGTTTGCTCACCAGTCTATTTCAGTCAGTTCCCCTCCTGTGTATCATTGCTAATAGTGGAGCCCCTCGCTCAGCCTGGTTGGGTATCCACTTACCCAGCTATAGTCTGGAAGTCATGCCAGAAATCACTGCAATCCTTTTTACAGAGACCTGATCACGTGTCCGACAGTCAGACAGCCTGATAGCTGGCTTTCTCAAAGCACATTGTAATTTGGAGAGACTCCCTTTGTGAAATCTCTCAGCAGGTATTTCAATGGTACTTTTGTGGCAGTCTCACAGGCTGCTTAGAAGGAGAATAAGTGATTAACTCATTTATATATTGCACCAATTGTCCATGCATTTGTGTCATCGCGTTCAGGTTATTGTAATGCCTTGTTTACCAGCTTGGATAAATCATCTCTTTCTCGCCTCCAAGCTGTACAAAATGCAGTGGCCGAGCTACTAACATGTTCTAGCAGGAGTGCTCACATTACTCCCATTTTATATTTACATTGGCTCCCAATTGATTTTAGAATTCGTTTTAAAATTCTTGTTTTAACAAGTAGAGCACTAAATGATTATTTATCCAAGCTTCTTATAAAACACACTGCTGCTCGTTGTCTCTGCTCACAGACTCAGAGTTTGTTGGTTGTTACACAACTGAAGACAAAAGGGGGCGGAGCCTTTCAGTCTGTTGTAGGCGTAACATGCCCATGTTTTGTCACGTCCCGCGGCGTTCCTGAGGAACGCAAAAGGAGGCTTTCGGCGTTCTTATGGTACGCCGAAATCCAGTGCAATGACGCTCCCGCGGTAATAGACGTTCCAGCCCTGTATTCCAGCCCTAAACCTAACCTTATCCGTAGCCCTAACCATAACCTTTTTCCTGATCTTAACCAGGACTTTAATGATGTTAAATAGCGTGTTTCTAAGTGATTTGAAGAAAAAGAGCGAACATGTGTAGATTGATTCCATACGGTTCCCATTTTTCCTCATTTTTCCGAGGTCGTCATTCAGGAACGTGGTGGGTAGCCGAAAACGTAATATGTTGACGATTTGTCACCTAGCGTAAAATGTTACGCTTTGGGAGTGAGAACGTGTTGACCAAGGAACAGTTTACCTCCACAACTACGTTTGGTTGACTCCTTTAAAAAGCAGTTAAAACATTTTTGTTTAAACAGGCCTTCTGTTAATCAACACTTTTGAATTGTTTTGAATTTGAATTTTATTACTTAATGTTTTCTTTATTTTAACCTTTGTGTTCAGCGCTTTGTGACTGCCCGTCTACAAAAAGCGCTCAATAAATAACCTTACTTACAATATCACCACCAAAGGAGGAGTGTCACTCATTCCCCTCACATTATATTTACTGATATCACACAATTCTGAGGAATCTGGGATCACTTGCCTGACATAAAGGAAAGCATCTAGCAGCTGCATGTTTTTGTTTTTGTTTTTTTTACAAAGGAACGATTGCTGTCACATATTCTGTTTAATAATCTGCTGCAGCCACCTGCACAGTTTCCTTCAATCAATCAATTTATTTATAAGCACATTTAAAAGCAACACAGGTGGATCAAAGTGTTGTACACAGTAAACAGTAAAAACCTCACAATTAAAAGCTAGTGAGTAAAGATGTGTTTTCAGATGGGTTTTAAAGATGTTGAGTGTTGAAGAGACACTAATTTGAAGAGGCAGACTGTTCCAGCGATCACAAAGGCCCAGTCTCCTCTGGGTTTTAGGAACAATCAGAAGTAACTCATCAGCTGACCTAAGAGATCTAATTGGAGTATTTTTAGTTAACAGATCAGAGATGTATGACCATTTAGAGACTTAAAAACAAGGAATAAAATCTTTAAATCAATTCTATAACATACAGGAAGCCAATGCAAACGAGCCAAGACTGGAGAAAGATGGTCGTGTTTATAAGTGGCTGTCAAGAGTCGGGCTGCAGCGTCCTGAACAAGCTGAAGTCGAGAGGGCAGAGCCGGCTGATCAGTAATGCTTTGAAACCAGACTGACATGTGTCGTTCATTTCCAGAAAAGCCTGGAGCTGAAGGAAGATAATTTTTTGAGGATTTGGGGCAGGAAGGGGGGTTTAGAGGTTGGTCTAAAATTTGAGAGAGCTGTTGCATGAAGATTTGTTTTGTTGAGAGATGAGTGCACTGTAGCATGCTTAAGATCAGCTGGGATGGTTCGCATTAGAAGGGAGGTTTAATAATGGTTAAAAAATGAGGTCCAATAGTGTCAAAGACTTGTTTGGAAAGGCGAGAGGGGAGAGTGTCGAGGTGAACCACAGAGGGCTTAAGATGGGAGACGACTTCACCCAGAGCGCACAGAGCAGCTGTGATGGCAGACATGTGGTGTGTGAGAAAGCCTTGATGCAAGCACGGCTTCTGTTGCG